GGTACAGGATGGGACGCTGTCCTTCCTCCCAGCCTCGCACACGATGCCAGCTGGTCTGGGTTGCACATTAAGAAGCCGAGATATTATTTCCTTTTCCCAACGTATGTCATGAAGGACCACTCTGCTCTAATGTCAACACTTATACTTATTTTAACCAGTTTTTTTTTCTCGTGATGTTGAAGAATCGTACTTTGCTGTGGATTATCATTAATAGAGTTTACTGGGCTGTGCGTATAACTGCAGTCGTCTATTTACTTGGAATCTGGGCTGCGTTCTGCCTAAATAGGTTTAGAGCTCAAAATCTTGTTCACATTTCCATCACGGTATCACATGAAATCCAGCTTTGCAGTATGGGATCAGTGAGCCGCCTTGAATTGAAAGAGCAGCACGTTGTTTTATTTACAGTTCTGCAGCAGAATCATGCCCCCGAGTTTCAGAGCTCGTGTAACCTGGTTGCTGGGCTAATGCCACCAGTTTCTTCATTTTAGAAACTTCATTTTGCAGTGGAACCTCCGCAGCCCCGACAGTTTAAAGACCTCCGAAGCCAGATTCCACTCTCACTTTGTTCGCAGTCTTCTTCGCTTGTTTTTTTTAAAAAAAACTTTCTTGGCTGTTAATTCAAGTCTACCGTTGGCGTTCCAAATGGCCTGCACTCTTAAAGCCATGTCAAGTCTAATCATCCAATTACTTTCTCTGTGTGAATTGGTCTCTAGTTTGTGATTCTTCTGTGCGAATCTGGCTCAGCCAATAAGTGTCTGAGTGTAATTGGTGTCATTTGGTTTATAGCCAGCTAGGAGATTCCTAGAGGATATGCTCTTTACCATGGAATTAAGATAAACCCTGTTTAATTTGGTGTCACTGGGACAATTTGCGAGCCTTTAATTATTTGGTTCTCCTTTTATTTTTCCGGATGGAACTGTATCTGTTGCAAATTAAGGTCAGAAATTTGACATTATTCTTGCGCAGATAGAGGGATGGTGGGTTCAGATGTCAAGATGTGTTGCATGTGCTTGGTAGAATCGTCAGTGTTTTTTTTTTCTCAAGCGTTTTGCAGAGAGACTAGTCCACACGCTGATGGACGTATCCAGGTGTTTCTGAGTCTCGGTGCACTTCTTGATTTTGCAATGTGAACGATGCTTGCTTTGGAAGGTAAATGCATTTCTAAATGAAACCGAGCACATGGTGGCGATAGGTTAAATCTGACAACTAATGTGGGTTTTCAGATGCTCTTTCATCGCTGGGTTGCGTGCAGCTGATGGTCAGCTATGACGGGCTTGGCAGCTGCCCGCTCGTTGGTGACCGTCTTCCTCCTCTGCAATCTGGGGGAGCAGAAAGGGAAACGAAACTGCCAGATCAGTGGCTGGTTCCTTCTTCTGGTCCGGTCTGGCTCCCCACTTCCTCTTCTACCAGGGCGGGAGACCGTGATCGTGGGGCGCAATGGGCTCACACCCATCTCTGTGCATCTGATGCGCTGACTATACAAGTCTGGGCAGGGCTGATTATGTAGGGCTTGCCTTCCCTTTGTAAGCATTTGATCCCTTTGACTTTGTTTTTGTGTGTTGGTAGCTATTTCTCGGGGGGTCTGTGGGTCAGACAAAGAGGTATCCTTTATCCTGCGAGGGGGGCGGGGGCATTTTTGCTTAATGGCTCTGAAAGCTTGGTTACAGCACCTGTAGCGCAGTGTGCTGAAAGGTCAAGGGGGTGGGAAGGTTGGGATGTCATCTCCGGGCTTCCTGAGTGTGCGGGCAGCCTTGTCCCCGGTCTCCGGGCTGTTGGAGCCTTTGCAGTCATCAGTGTGGTCTGCTGCCCCGGGCCACCCTGTCTGCCCCAGGCTGATTGTGCTGAGTGGGGAATCTCCTGGGGCTCCTGCTACAGATAAAACAATTAGGAAGTATTGACTGGCGGAGTGGGAGTCTGATGAGAAGGGGAGCGTGTCCGTGGTAATGAGGAAGGAAGCACTGGAGCCAGGAGTGCTGAGGTTATATAGAGACCTGGGGGTGTCTCCTTTCCTCTCTCCACTCTCCTTCTCTCTGTTTACCTCATCCCCTCTCTGTCTCTAGCTCTCAACAGCTTAATCTGTCTCTAATGCCTGTGTAAGGAAATGCGCAAGACCGCGCAATGCAGACACTAAAAATGGTGGATAATGTTAATGTCGGAGTTAGCAGTTTGATTTTAGTAACCGCAGGAAAGCATTACCACCAGCATTAGCGATGTGAGAGCACAGCAAAACGCATTTTGTGAGAGCATTTTGTTTTCGTCCATGGGATCAGAATTTACAAGCATTGTTAATTTCTGCTTTGCAATTATTCGTGTTAAGTAAAATAAAACACCAGCCTTAATGCAGATGCAAAGCCCTGGTGCTAAAGCTGTCATGGGTGACTAGTCATTATGCTGTTAGTATTGCTTTTGGTGCTTCTGTTTGTTGAATTTCTGCCCTGACTGTTTTATAAGCTGTGGCATTGATCAAAGAAACGCCTCACCAATTACTATCCAGTTCAAACAAATGCAATATTGCACATTTCTGCAAAGTCACTCCCAGTGTCTTGTCCACCTCTGAAGGTTATCCAACTCTGTAGTGCTGAATAGGCACTAACTCAGCTCCAGCTGGAGACCTGGGCTGAGGAGAAAGTCTCAGAGGCCGGGAAGGTAAAGTTTCTGGCAGGACGGCAACGCTTAATCAGGAATCAATGGATTGGGAGTATTTGCAAAAGTTTGATCACACTTTCTAGAGCTCCTAAAACTTTATTTTCTGTGGTGACAGGTGTCCAGTTGAGGTATTTTAAGAGGTTAGTGTTTGCAGAGACTGAGGCGTCCTGTTCTGAGGAAGTGAGATCCGGAGTTCTGCTGTCAGTTCTGGGTTTTCACTGATGAATAATGGTCTGTTTTGCTGCTGACAGGAATGCAATATTCTGCATATTAGCTAACAGAATACATCCATCACCAAGAAACAACAATAATAAAAACTATTCTTAGACAAAAGATTTTACTGCAGATTATGATGGGGCTCATCTCTTCTTCACTCACTCTGTTTTCACAGGATCACAACTAAAACAACTTTTGAGTTTCCTCTTCTGGCTCGAGCTAAAATAAGGCTGCAGCGTGGTCTTTAGAAGAGCACGAATTTCAGAAACTGGAGGCAGGTCCTGTGTTTGTCATGCCGTCATGTAAATCTAAAATCAGGCCTGGTGAGCTCACATGTTGTGGGAGACAGGACAGCATTTTTGAGATGATTAAAAAAAAAAGACGTTTTATAAAAAGCGCCACATGTGCTGTGAAACACATGGATTGAAAGGTATGGGAACTGAAATAAAATCCAGGACAGTACCTGTTCATGCTGACTCGAAATAGTAGCTTCTCCCGGTGCAGAAACAGAATGCTTTCCTGTCAGTCTGCCTCTTGCCCACGCACTCCATCGCGTTCAAGTGCTGTGATAGAGGCTCTGAGAAAGTTAACTTTATGCACAAGAAGTAGACCTGCAATCTAGGACGCGGCATTGTCGAGAACCAGTTCCAACTTTCTGGAGGGGTTCTGTAGAGCAGCGGCGCGGACTCCTGCTCTGCTGCCCCGCTTGGTGGCTGGAGCGCGGCGCGTGCCCCCCCCCTGCAGCGGTGGTGGAGCCGCGGCACACACGCGCCCTGGTTGGTCGGGGCTCTGCTCTTGCAGAAGTGTCGCCTGGCCAGCAGCCAGGCGGGGTGCGTCGGCCCACCCGGTGATCGATCGGCGTTCCTGATCCCGTTAATGTGTTTATCTGACCCAGGGTTCCCTGCTCTCTGCGCAGTGTGCATTGGTAAGCGCAGCACGGCTCTGATTTCTCATCCTGTCCCCTCTCCACTTTTTCAGCCGTTTACCTCCTTCGTGTGCAGCACGCGCGCTACTGTTCAGTAGCTGGAACCGCAGCTAAAACGCAACCGAGTGAGAAACTGGGTGGCGTTTTTTTTTGGCTTGTAGCCCTTGGCGCCTGCAACCCACTAGAATTGCATCTGCTGATTTAAAAAGAAGTCCCAACCAGCGGCAGCGACTCGTGGATCGCTAACATAGTGAGCGAGGGGACCCCTCCAGAAAGTACAATGTGAGCAAGTGCGCCAGTGATGGATTTGGCACCCCAAAAATATATTGTCTTGGGAGTCGGGGGCTCTCCGGCTGAAAGGTTTTTCCATCAAAGGAAAATACAGAAGCATCCCCAAAAAATAAAAATCATTTTATTTAATTCCCCTTCATAAACTTTTGTGCATCTAATGCTCTAGGCCTTGCAGTTTCTAGCAGGATTCAATCAAGAGGAGCCAGATACTGTCAGCATCGCTCATATAGGTGCAGTCCAGCAGCAGAAACGTGCAACATGTGACTGAACTTCCTGAAGAATGTGGAGGCCATTGCCTGGAGCGGCTGCTGGCTCAGTAATGAATATGGCCAGATGCTGTTAATGAATCAAAACAGAGTTTAAGATTGAAACATTTCTGAGCCTTAATGTTCTTAATGTCTTTATCAATCACCTGTGTAACAGCAGACAACAGGAGGATGTGGGCTGGCTCCTCCAGGAAGTGTTCTTAAAGGTTTGCATAGCAGGGATGTGTGATGCTGATGATTGTCTGTTATTTCAAGGAGGAAAAAAAAAAAAGATTTTTTTTAATCCATAAAAAGAGGAAAAAACAGAACTCTGAAGGTTTTTGCGCAGTTTTAATTCAATTTGTTTTGTTTTGCGATGCTAGCTATATTGCTGATTTTATTCAATTCCTTCTGCCTGCATTAACTTGGTAATTGGCTCGCGTGTGTTTTTTTTCCAATCGAGGCAAATAAAAAGCAGCTTTTCTAATTAAAAAATCTTTAAGGAAGCACCTTAGGTGGATTATTCATCTCCACGTGTGCAGGGTGTACCCAGATAGTTTAGATGTGGGTCTAAATGAAATCAATGCTAGTGGCACAGTGCTTTATACAAGCTATTGAGCAGCAGCAGCGGCGGTGGTGGCGTGACTGTGTTCAGACCTTGTGCTGTGTGCTTGCAGATGAAGACTGTGAGCGTGGCGCTGGTGCTGTGCCTGAACGTGGGGGTCGACCCTCCAGATGTGGTGAAGACATCTCCCTGCGCCAGGCTGGAGTGCTGGATTGGTGAGGCCCTTCCTTCCCTCCTGTCCTCTCCTCACTCTGTCTCCCTCTCTCTCTGCTGCAGTCCCTCTCTCCCTTTTCCTCTCGCTCTTTCTCCGTGTTCATTCCCAGCTCCACAGCTTCCTGGTTCCCATTCTTTTTCTCCCCTTTAGCGGCACTGGTTCCCTTTGAGTAATTTGATCAGAAACCTCCAGGAAAGCAAAGTGACACAGGTCCGATACAAATCATCCATGTGTCCGTGTGATCGCAGTACAAGCAGATGAGCCAGCCTGTGCTATTTCCCCAGCTGCGGCACAGTGATCATTCTGCCTTGTTTCCTCCTTTTAGTGAGGAAAAAAAACAGCCTCAGTGAAGCATGATGTTTTCAGACATCGAATAGAATATTATTATATTATTATTATTTTTATTATTATAATTGCTTACACTTATATAGCACTTTTCTGGACACTCCATTCAAAGCACTTTACAGGTAATGGGGATCCCCTCCACCACCCCCAGTGTGCAGCCACACCTGGATGCTGCTCCAGTACTCTCCCCACACACCAGCTCTCACTGAGGAGGAGAGCAGAGTGATGAAGCCAGTTCAGAGATGGGGCTTATTAGGAGGCCATGATTGGTAAGGGCCAATGGGAAATTTGGCCAGGACACCGGGGGTAACATCCCTACTCTTTTAGAGAAATGCCCTGGGATTTATAATGACCACAGAGAGTCAGGACCTCGGTTTTACGTGTCATCCGAAGGACGGGGCCTGTTTACAGTATAGTATCCCTATCACTATACTGGGGCATTAGGACCCACACAGACTGCAGGGTGAGCGCCCGCTACTGGTCCCACTAACACATCTTCCAGCAGCAACAGTAGTTTTTCCCAGGAGGTCTCCCATCCAGGTACTGGCCAGGCTCACACCTGCTTAGTTTCAGTGGGCTGCCAGATGTGAGTTGCAGAGTGATATGGCTGCTGGCTTTGGAGAATATCCAAAGAGTTCTAAAAAAAAACACAATACTTAAGGAGGACATGGTGGGAAACATGTTTTGTTTCAGCCTTGAAAATATTGAAATTCAATAAAAGTTTCTCAAAAAAGAAAATAATACTCAAGCTTTTGCTTAGGGAATCTTTGCCTTTTGTATTTAGACTGCAAGGGGTCTTTAGTTACCACTGGATCCCTCTTGTAACAGCCTAAAAATAATTATACATAACACACTCCAAAAATATATGTGCCCCTGCAGTGATGGTGTGAGGCATCAGAGACCCAGACAGGTTGAAACTGACATTTGCAGTCGGGTTTTCCATCAGTGCAGTGTCTGTAAATGCATAGGAATTACGTCATTGAGAACAGGGGACACTTATTTATTTTTTTACACAAAAGGTAGTGGGTGTCTGGAAAAAGCTGCCAGGTTGTTTGGTTTGTGCAGATTCCTGGGAACCTTCGAATAAGCAGCAGGGTGATGGCCAATAATCTACCAAACGAGTGCGATTAGTCTAACGGCCTGCTCTCGTCTGTAACCTTCTTAAGTTCTTACGACTACATGGGTTGAAAGTTCCTGAGTCCTTCTCCCTTGCTGGTCTGCCTTTATTCGATCTGATATTTACCAGACTGACGGCTCTCGCTCTCCGTGCCCAATGACCTGTGTGTGGTGCAAAGTGGGAGCAGTCTGTACAGCACTTCCTGGACGAAGGAGCAGTAGCCTTACGTAGGGGCCTGCTTTTCCTATCTCACTAATGAACTCATTAATCTATCATTAATTATCCATTACCCAAGAAGACTTTACTGCCAAAGTCCCATAATTACACCAGGCAGCAACTCGTCAGGAAAGGGTAGCGGAAGATCTGAAGAATGTCGCAGCACAAAACCGAGATCTCGCCCCGAAAACCAAACAGAAGCCGCCACGATTTTTCCTTCTTCTTTGGGGGAAAAAGTCATCTTTTGTAGACCGTAGTGAAAGCGTAGTGCACAGTGAGACTGGGGTAAAAGCAGGGTAAAGAGCAGAGACTGTGGTAAATGCGTGGCAGAGATGCTGTACAGGTCTAGCAGGGTAGCTATTGACCTTCTGAATGGTAAGTAATACTGGCTTTCTCTTGCAGACCCGCTGTCTATGAGCCCACAGAAGGCACTGGAGACCATTGGAGCCAACCTCCAGAAACAGTATGAGAACTGGCAGCCCAGGGTAAGGACCTGCTGTTTCTAGGAGTTAGTGGAGGCACCAGGGGTGTGAAGACTGAAGAGGGGCCAGACTGCCAGGTTCAGGGCAGAGTTCATTGGCCCTCCTCCTTGTTCCTTATTTTATCATAAAGCTGAGAAGGAACCTAAAAGATTTCCGAGGGAAGTGCTGACTAAAGGCAGATCATCTTATAAAGGACAAAGCAGACGGCTTCATTTCTTAAATATGTCACGTTTTAAAAACCACACTTGAATTCCTGGTTTTAAATTTAAATATTCGCCCCTCCGACTCTGTGTGGTGGCTTTGGCGTCTCCTAAGCCTGCGCACTCAGGTGTGCGGACCATGTGTCCCTGTGTGCATTATGTTCAGCGTTACATGGTGTGGCATTAGTCATAGTCACACTGACTTTGGTGGTCTTGTGAGGAAGTGAGGAGGCTGTGCGTGGCGTGCGTGTCAGTCTCTGTCAAAGCATGCTGGTTTCTGCTGGCTAGAACAGGCAACTCTTTCACAAAACACAATGCAGTGCAGTGCGGAGAGATGTAACCTCATCCGCATAGCTGTTCATGTGGGCTGGAGCCACATTCCATGTTCCGGCACGTGCTGCCCCCCCCTCCTCCTCCTCCTCCTCTTTCCTTTATTCCTCAACATCAGAAGGTTTTGCTTAACAAAGAATTGCTTGACAGATGATGTGTTGGCTGGTCTGTGCGGCCGCCAGGTTTCCAGGTCCCTGTGTATTTATGTATGTGTGTGCCACCTCAGATTTGAGAATTGGACACTGTCTGTGCCAGCGGTACCAGGGCTGGAAGTTTAGTCTCTTTGTACTTGCCATGGTGTAGTAGGCAGTGCTGGCTCCTTTGCCTGGACACCATATCCGCAGTGTACCAGTCATAAATGACTCACAGAGTTATGTATATGTGCGAGAGCATGCATGACCATGTGAGGCAAGCTCTTCATAGCATGGTTCGGTCCTTGTAAGGACAGCAAAAAAAACAAACTGAGAAGTAAATTGATGTGCAGTCTGCCTACTCTTTTTTTTTTTAAAAAAAAAGGCTTGGCACAGAAATACGAGTCTTTATCTGGCACGTTAATGACTGCGGCGATCTTTTCCCCTCTGGGGTCTAGAACAGCGCATCCTTCATTTTTGCTTAAGGTGAGCGCTAAGCACAGAAGGGCCACGCGTAGCTGGCGTGAGCACGTCTCGTCGGATGGTGCCGCGCATCTGTGAGGTGCTCTCCAGTTGAGAAATACACAAGGCAGTTAAGTTCCCCCAGTCCCCCCGTACTCTCTCTTGTTGTGAATGGGCTCCCTGGAGATTAGCTGTGAAAACAGTCATTAGTGGTCCAGACACTTTCCCGCAATCCGTATAGAGACGTGATGAGTTGAGTCGGAGTCCGCAAGGAGCTGCATACAGTACATCAGCAGAGCCCCATGTGTCAGACATATATGACAGACTGGCTCGGCACCTCTCCTACCTGCTGTGGTCTGTGTCTAACTAGGCTGCATTATCCTCCCCCAACCCCCTCCTTTTTGGCTGTGATGTCAGATTCGTATTTATTCCAAATAAAATAAAACGAGAGGGTAGTGTGTGCAGTCTTCTGTGCACTCCAACTCGATTTTTTTCCCCCATAGTTCATTATTGGCCAACAGCATCCTTTAAAATTCATTTTATGCTCTGCATTGCACCATAAGGATAACAAGCCAAGCACAGAATGCTTTTTTTCAGTAACAGGAGCTGGAGGGCTTGTTTTGAAACCTTTTAAATATTTTTCGTATCAGTTCTGAAAGGCACTGCCTTTATGTCTGCAGATATACCCACAGTGGAAAAGCTTTACCTGGACCACAAGCCTTTTTTGTTTTTGCAAAGAAATTTGGCACCAAGGCCCACGTGTCTTTCAATTGCAGTATTGCTGCTGTTGGACTGATGCCTGTAGCAAAGTTACCCTTGTGTAAGGCACTAGAGGTAGAGAAAGGATTTTGTAATGCATTGTTTTTTAATTTTCTTTTATTTCTGGCATGTTTTTTTGCATTTTCTGTCTTGTACCATCTTGTATCTTGATGAGAATACCTTCTTTTGATTACTTTGGCACTAAAGAATATCCTGGAAATCTTGGGAAGAGCTGTGACGAGGCTTTATTGATGTTACTGAGCTGTCAGTAGGGATGGATTGAGTAACAAACACCTGTACTCAGCTGTGGATGGGTGTGCTGATGCTGTATTATTGCAAAATGTGGTCTGTATCCTTCGCAATTTTAAATAGCAAAAACCCTTTCTTTGACGTCTTCTGTTGGCTGCTGTTGGCAGTGGCCTTCTTAAAACTCAGGCATTTCTGTTCGTCTTCAACACTCCTCTGCAGTCCTAGGCAGGGGTAAGCAAGCTTAACACTGAGAATCGTGGGAACTGCTCTCTCTTCTGTCTCTGAGCTTCCCCGTTACCCCCAGAATAGCCAGATCGCCAGCATTGCCCACATCCTCTGTCAAAACCCTGTTTTCTTGGGCGGTTCTGGGTCCTTTAAAAAAGCAGGACAGTGTGTTCTGGCTTGAGAGGGATGTTAGTGAGCAGCATATCTTCACACGGTTTTCCGTCCGCGCCACCACGGTCATCCGGGCA